AATAGTACACATTACATGTGAACAGTCTTTGACGTAATGTAAAATTACGTTTTGCGCCTGAATCGCCTGAACAACGTCACCTTGATATGTTTTTGAAAGAAAAGGGAATGTTCGTTAAAACAAGATAATTATAAACACTTTATAAACCGTTTTTTAATTGTCCCCTTCATGCCAGTGGCATTATAAGTATCAATCACGCAAAAAAATACTTTGCTACTCCAGTTAGAATTATGGCTGTCTTTTATCAGATAGAAAATTATGTATCATACGCATAAAATTTATAGCACAAATCTAAATTCTACCTCTATCATCTATATTAGATGCAATTAATAGATATCCAATATACCAGTACTTGCTAGAAATTTATCTATTTTAGCTATTTTTCATACCTAGATAATTTTTTTGAAAACGTTTTTTACTTATCCTCTTCATGCCAATGATAATGGTTGCGTTCAGCAGAGAAAGCAGCTTTACAACTGTTGTAAAATCTTTCAATACGATTCGTTTTTCTTTTTGAATCCTTATGGATCTAAATGTACCCATATAGCACGGAATATTGCAAAAAATTTTCAGAAATGTTTCAATCTTTCACATCTCATGTGCAACAATTCTGAAAGGATTCTACAATATGTCGTACGAAATGTTTTAACAGAAATGTTTCTAAAATCTATCATTTGCAATAAATTGAAAAACATATTTAAATCGAAAAAAAATCATCATGATGTTAAAATGGCTCCATAATGTTTACTAAAAATCATTTTTTTGATCAATCACGATACAATTTAATGACATTTTGATGTTATTGTGACTTGTTCTACCGTAGTTGCGAAAAACTGTAGTATACGAATGACTCGTTCGGCTTTAATTCAGTGTTTTATCAAGACAAGATTTTTTGTCTTGAAGAGCATTTCTTGTCTTGTCTTGATTTTCAAGACAATAAAGTTTGTTTTTCTTGTCTTGATCATTTCTTGACATTATATTTCTTGTCTTGAATTCAAGAATCTTGAATTTCTTGAAATTTCTTGATTTTTTAAGTAGGGCCCTTGTGGCTCTTTGGCTACGTTTACACCGTGCGCTTAGTCTGCGACCTATACTGTTGCGTAGAGAGCTCTCTAAATGTTGTACACGACTTATGATGGACGTCGGACGAACCAATACGGACACACACGTATTAACACACATTAACACGCATTACTGCGTATATTCAGAAATCCATCTCGGTTCATGAAAGGACGAAAAAAAAGGGCAAAAAAACTGGTTGCGGCATCGATAGAAGATTTATTAGACACTGTTGGCCCTTTTTTTACCGCGTCTCTCCGTCTTCGTATTGTCGTCGCTTGTCGCGGCTTTGTCGCCGCTATGTCTCCGCGGCTCCGTCACAATTACGTTTCGGAAAATTCAACCAATCAGGACCTCAGTCAACATTCATTCGACCGGCGATCGTGCGACTATTCACATCTCTTAGTCCGAGCTAAAGTCCGCAGTTTTCGGTTTCATTCCGAGTGATTTACTAACGTGTGTGTCAACCGTGATTCAGGGCAATAGCCCCTAAGCGTTATCACGGTACCGTCCGACCATCGACTCAGGGTGAATACGCGAGCACCCCCAGGCGTTGTCATAAAGCGACTCAGAGCGTTACAACGCCCCTAGGAGTACGTCGCAAGCTACAGTGGCATAACTGAACTGAAAACGCGAAGTTTGTCTACTGATTTTGTGTTGTACAAAGATGTATGTTTTGTAAATATTGTAAATAAATTCTGTGAAACGAAAAGACAGTGCGGATATTAATAGTATCCAACTGAAGACAAAACATTTTGGTTCCTCCTGTGAGGTCTTGCGGCCTACCATAGATTCTACGCATAGATCGTCAAAGAGTGACCATCACGTTCTACACAATCACAAGTGCAAATCTCCGAGAAGGATAGAGAAGATCACGTTCTATACAGCCATAGATGCAAATTTCTGAGAGCGTTGAGACACGACACGACAATCACCAATTCACCACAGTTTAGTAAGTCATTCGATATTTTACATTCTTAAATTACACGGAAATGGCAGATAAAATTAAACTATTAATACAAAAGCGGACGTCGTTGAAGTTCCAAATAACGAGTTTAAGTAATATCCTCGATAAGGGGAAGTACGATAACGCCTCATTAAAACTGAGAATGAAACGCGTAACTGAACTTTATCATGCGTTTGAGGATAGTAACGACGAACTCGCCGTACTAGATCCGAATGAAGGACATCAAATCGAATTCACGAGCATTCAAGATCGGTACTATTTTTCGCGAATAAGGTAGAAAAAACCTTACATGAACTCGATATTTCGAAAGCGGGCACTAGCAGTTCGATGAACGAGACGCGAAGCACCGAGTCCGAGACAACAACGAAAAAACGACGAATTAAATTACCAGAGGCATCTCTGCCTACATTCGACGGCAAATATGAAAGCTGGTTGTCGTTTAAGAAAGCATTCAAAAACATGATAGGATCGCAGACAGATCTGTCTGACTTAGATAAGTTATATTATTTGAAGGCGGCGCTAAACGGTAAAGCTGCCAATAAATTACGAATCTTCGCTATTGACGATGCAAATTATAGTAAGGCATGGGAGTTACTTGAAAAGTCATATGAAGTAAAGCGTATTTTAATATCGCGTCACTTGTCGCTACTTTTAAACCTGCCGACCTTGGATAAAGAAACAACCAGCGCTTTATCTAAATTCGCGGACGACGCGCAACAGCATGTCGCGTCGCTAAACGCGTTAGGCGTTTCCGTCGGATCCGAAATAGTCGTCCATATTTTAGAGAACAGGCTTCCGAAGAGCGCGTCAGAGAGATAGGAAGCGTACCTCGAAAGAGATACATTCCCTGAACCCGATAAGATGTACGAATTTCTATACAAGTCCGCGGTCTGCGCTTCAAAACGCGAGAGATCGAAGGAAGCGAAAACAGAAAAAAATAAATCCGAACCCGCGGCTAAAAGGAAACGCACTAGCGCGTCGAATTGCGCATTTATGCTGAATACATCGCGTAATTGCATAATGTGCAAGACCAGTCGTCCGCTGTATTCGTGCGAAAAGTTTAAGCAGCTGTCGGTGCAGAAGCGCATCGATGCAATAAAAGCCGCGAAGCTGTGCTATAATTGCTTACGGTCGCGGTAGCGCTTGCAAATTTTCAAGCTGTTCTATTTATCAGAAACGTCACAACACACTTTTGCACATTGATAATTACGCGAATGAATTCAGCAAGTCAAAATCAGAGTCGATTCAAACCGAATGACTAATCCAGATGACCGACAATCGAACGACAAGCCTAACGACATTACACTCCCAAGCGCCGCAACTTATGACAAGTGCACTTGTATATGTATTGCGATTATCAGAACCAACTAATTAAATGCCGCGCACTATTAGATACGGGCGCTTCTGTAAATTTTATATCTGAACCCTTCGTAAAACGTTTGAACCGATAAACGCGCATTCGTTACCGGTTAGTGCGATTAATGACACGGGTACCGAAAGGCATAGTCCAAATAAAGATACAATCCATATACGACAATTTCTGCAAACATTTGACATGCCTGACAATACCAACCATCGCCGATCTAATTCCATCCGAGGTTCCCACGCGAGTCAATTCGGTTACCATCGAATATTAAATTGGCGGATCCAGAGTTCCACTTACCACGTTCGATTGATTTATTAGTTGGTTCAGTAGTGTCGCTATCGTTGTTCGCGGTCGGTCAGATTAATCTTAAGCGAGAACGCTATGAATTATACTTACAAAAGACACGATTAGGCTGGGTAGTGGCTGGTGGCGCGTCATCACAAAAAACAACAAGACTCTCGAGATGTCACTCGACGAATCTCGAAAGTCTAGTGCTTCAATTCTGGGCGATAGAAGAAATCACGACGAACAAACCGTTATCTGAAGAGGAAAGTATGTGCGAAGTACATTTCGTTAGAACTGTCTCTCGTGGCGATGACGGTCGTTATTCAGTTCGCTTGCCATTTCGCGATACGAACAAACGTCTAGGAGAATCGTGGTCCATGGCGCTTAAACGTCTATTAGTATTAGAGCACAAACTTAACGCGAACATGACTTTAAAATCGAATTACACTCAAGTGATAAATGAGTATTTGAAATTAAAACATATGTCTTTAGTAGAGAATCCTGATGAAGAGGGTTATTACATGCCCCATCACGCGGTACTTAAAGAATCAAGCGAAACCACAAAGGTACGAGTAGTCTTCGACACTTCTGCGAAGACAAGCAATGGGGTATCGTTAAACAACTTACTTATGATAGGTCCCACCGTGCAAAATAATTTAATCGCGCACTTAATTCGATTCCGCACATACAACTGCGTCATCACAGCCGACATCGAGAAAATGTATCGCCAGGTATCTTTACATGAAGACGATCGGCGATATCAACTCATTCTTTGGCGTCACGACGGTAAAATCGAAACGTTTCAATTAAACACGCTCACCTTTGGCGTATCTTCCTCACCATTCTTGGCAATTCGCACTCTTCAACAGCTCGCAGATGACGAATCTCTCGTTCATCCTCGGGCGGCCAAGATTCTTAAATCTCATCTGTATGTGGATGATTTGTTCACTGGCGCTGAAACGTTCGATCAAGCCCGAGTGATACGAGATGAAATAATCGCGTTGTTGGCTAGAGGCGGATTCATTATCCGTCAATGGGCATCAAATGACGAACGCGCGATTAATGATTTACCATCCAACTCATTGCATTACTAATTTCACGTTGAATATAAATCGTACCCTGAAAACACTAGGCATAACGTGGAGCACTCGCAACGATAAGATATGTTATTCGACTAATCCTATCATAAATATGAAGGACCGACAAAAAGGATCATTCTATCAGAAATCACTAAGATTTGCGATCGACTGGGCCTGTTGGGTCCGATCGTTTTATATGCTAAAAAGTTAATACAGAGCGTGTGGCTATGCGGATTACACTGGGATGAATCCGTTCTACAGAGCATCTATACAGTGGTCGGAATTTATTAAACAATGGGAGTCTATGGATTCGGTTTCGGTCGATCGCAAGTTACTCGTGGAGAATTGTTACGATATTCAACTTCACAGTTTCTGTGACGCCAGCAACATAGGCTACGGTGCTTGTATATATATTCGGTCGCGTGGGAGGCAAGGTAAAACATGCGTCAGATTGTTATGCGCTAAATCGCGGGTCGCTCCGTTAAAAACCGTCACGATACCACGGCTCGAATTATGCGGCGCTTTATTGTTAGCACAACTGTTTCGTGAAGCGAATGATGCATTAGATCTCGCAGTCAATAATAAAAAGGTTTTTTGGAGCGACTCGACCGTCGTGCTACATTGGTTGAAAACACCCCCGCACTTGTTAAAAACATACGTAGCTAATCGAGTCGCGAACATCCAGGATATCACAGACGCAGTTGATTGGCGACATGTGAAATCAGAAAATAATCTAATGGACGCGATTTCTAGAGGACAGACGCCTCGTGAATTTTCACGGAATCGCGTGTGGTTTGCGGGTCCCTCGTGGTTGTTCAAGGATGAGTCCGAATGGCCTGACGACTCTGCTCGATTGGATCAAGTGCCTGAATTAAAGGATAACATTTGTTTAGCTTCTATAAATCGCGATTTTGACATCCTTTTAAAATTTTCTTCCTATATTAAACTTATTAGAATCATAGCATATTGCCTTCGCTTTAATATTTCTCATAAGTACTCCGGACCATTATGCGCGGAGGAAATTAATGAAGCTGAGATACGTGTACTGAAACTTCTGCAGGGCGTCCGATTCTCTGATGAAATTATAATTTTAGACAAGGGCTCAAAAAATAAGAGCAAATTTGCAAACCTAGATCCATTCTTAGACAGATACGGCCTGATTCGCATTGGAGGGCGGCTTCAAATGTCGGAACTCACGTTTGCGGAAAAACATCCAATCCTGCTTCCTAATCGACATCATCTCACGGATTGCATTATTCGCAAAACACACGAGAAATATTTCCATCCGGGCGTACAAACGACATTATATATCCTGTGACAAAGATTCTGGTTACCGGATGGCCGCAACCAAGTGAGAAAAATCATTCGCTCATGCAAGCGTTGTTTTCAATTCCATCACAGCTGAATATAAAATGGGTGATCTCCCTCCGTCTCGTGTGCGTGCGGCCATTCCATTTACCAATACCGGGATTGACTTTTGCGGCCCGTTTTGTATAAAAGAAAGAAAATTCCGTAATCGATCACGGATCAAGGTCTACGTGTGTATATTCGTGTGTATGTCGATAAAGGCAATACATATCGAGGTCGTAAGTGATTTGACATCTGACGGGTTCCTCGCTGCCTTACGCAGATTCATGACCAGACGTGGTCTTCCGAAACATATCTATTCGGACAACGGTACAAATTTTGTAGACGCGAATAACGAATTAAGAGAATTATACGTTTTGCTCAATTCAGAAGAAAATAAGACTCGCGTGAACAAATTCGCCTCCGAACATCATATTACATGGCATTTTATACCGCCAGCAGCTCCCCATTTCGGCGGACTATGGGAAGCCTCAGTAAAGCTTTTCAAACACCATTTTAAACGAGTCATAGGAGATTCTTTATTTACGTTCAAAGAGTTGAACACATTCACCGTTGAAGTCGAGGGTATCTTAAACTCCAGACCAATTACTGCCATTACTGGTACTATCTCCTGCACATATTGTTTAATTGAAAAATCTTTAACGTCTCTGCCGGAGGAAAATTTATTATCAGTTCCAGATAACCGATTATCCACCTGGCATCACATACAAAAAGTGCGTCAGGATTTCTGGTCACGTTGGAATCTGGAATACTTAAACAAATTACAGACACGCGCTAAATGGGACAAGGACAAGCCAAATCTGACCATTGGAGATGTCGTCCTCATCAAGGATAGAACATTACCTTGCAACCAATGGGCTTTAGGCCGGATTACATCCTTACACCCAGGTGATGATGGGGTGGTACGAGTTGCCACAATGAAAACTGCGACTGGAGAACTTAAGAGATATGTGAAAACATTATGTCCACTCCCGGTCGAATCATAACACAAGCGTATACTCATACACTACCATTATCACTAACATTGTATGCGATACGTCATCTGTAATAATTTAAGGTCTAGACTTAGTTGATCGGTTTACCCTCTCAACGGGGGGAGAATGTTGCGTAGAGAGCTCTCTAAATGTTGTACACGACTTATGATGGACGTCGGACGAACCAATACGGGCACACACGTATTAACACACATTAACACGCATTACTGCGTATATTCAGAAATCCATCTCGGTTCATGAAAGGACGAAAAAAAAGGGCAAAAAAACTGGTTGCGGCATCGATAGAAGATTTATTAGACACTGTTGGCCCTTTTTTACCGCGTCTCTCCGTCCTCGCATTGTCGCTTGTCGCGGCTTTGTCGCCGCTATGTCTCCGCGGCTCCGTCACAATTACGTTTCGGAAAATTCAACCAATCAGGACCTGGAAGAGAAGGCTGTGCGGTGATCAGGACCTCAGTCAACATTCATTCGACCGGCGATCGTGCGACTATTCACATCTCTTAGTTCGAGCTAAAGTCCGCAGTTTTCGGTTTCATTCCGAGTGATTTACTAACGTGTGTGTCAACCGTGATTCAGGGCAATAGCCCCTAAGCGTTATCACGGTACCGTCCGACCATCGACTCAGGGTGAATACGCGAGCACTCCCAGGCGTTGTCATAAAGCGACTCAGGGCGTTACAACGCCCCTAGGCGTACGTCGCAAGCTACAGTGCATAACTGAACTGAAAACGCGAAGTTTGTCTACTGATTTTGTGTTGTACAAAGATGTATGTTTTGTAAATATTGTAAATAAATTCTGTGAAACGAAAGACAGTGCGGATATTAATAGTATCCAACTGAAGACAAAACATATATGATAGGTGTCTTTGTTTAACCTACAGATAAAGAAGGACATCTATTTGCAGAAGAATATCTATTGTATCGACATTTTGAATTGGTGATCAATTCATGAAAAATCTTTCCCGAACCTCTCAAGGGTGGTTAAAGATTTTTTAGCCACAATGGCAACATCGGTTCCAGCGGAGAGACTGAATTCGAAGGCTTCTTTAATAA